CGGCGGGGGTTGCCTGGGACGAGAGCTGCGAGAGTTGCCATGGCGACCAACGTTTGCCCCGGCACGGTCGTGGTCGCTACCTCCGCTGCTCTCCGAACCGCCCACGCGACTGCTCGATCGAACCCTTTCCGAATCCCATCTTTCTAGCTAGCCGTTAGCCGGTACTCGCTTTTTCGCGTCTCTTCCGCTCGTCTACCAGTCGCGATCTCTCCGGGCCCACGACTACTTTTTCTCGAGAACCTCGCGTTCCCTTTCTCCCGCTCTCGATTCCTCGAGAAGACCGCGGTATCGCATCGACTCGCTTCGCGCTGTCGCCACAGTCTGCCGAAAGCGGCTCCGCGTTTCCAGAATTCTCGTACGCTCGCGCGTTAGCTCGCTCGCGCGAGAAAATTATAATCAATAACGGGTCGATTATTTTTATCGTAGCGAGCGACGTTGCGTCTTAATCGAATTAATCGCATCATCGTTAAGCGTACGCCGATCGCACTCTGACCTCTTCGCTGTTCGACGCGCGATCGAAGGGTTAAGGACCGCGCTTCTTTCTTTATACGCGCCTCGCAACGATAACGTCGCATCGATTCGATCCATCTTTTTCTTCCTCTTCTCGGAATATCGTTGCACGCTACCGCGCTCTACCTTCGATGTCTTTCTTCGCCGTCGGAAATACGATGTCAGTTTGCGAATGCGTCCAACGAAATCCAAGTCTTCCCGTTGGGCAGAATAAATGCTGCTAGTTCTCGAGAACGTCATCCTTTGCAACTAACAACGTAATCCACGAAAAAATGTAAACTTCAACTCTAAATTCAAGCGAAAGTCGTAACCGCGAGCTCGCCGGCTTTGTATCCTACGACTAGACGACGAAGATGAAACCACCGTATAGCTTAGCGTGGCGGATCGTCCATTGTCTTGGTCGATTGTTTTCTCCTTACGTTTCTCGTTCGGCGTGCGTTCCTCTTTCGTCCAGCCTAGCACAATGGAACGACGCTCGAACAACAACGCACGTCGTGCTGCGCCGTTTTCTCCGAGTCGACGATTTTTTCGAAATGGCGAACCTCGACTTCGCAATTTTTTAATCGCCTTAACCCGCGCGTCTCCCGTTCGTCGCTGTGCTCTCTTTCGCGAAATATCGCAAACGAAAGTCCGCTTGCCTTCTTTCTCTGCCTCTTTTACTACGATTCCCTGTATCTCGGAATCATCTAGCCCCACTGCTTCCTTTTTCTTCGCTAACCGAGATAGGTTAACGCTTAGGCAGCAGATGGCGTTGTGGCGCTGCGTCGAAAACAAGCGGCAGCTTTCTTCACCCTTTTCGCGATCCGAATTTCTTCCCTTTTTTTATTCGCGCATCTTTCGCGCCCTACGTTAGCTTCTCCTTCGACTCGCTGCTCGAAGAAAGATGCGTCATATCCATAATAACGATAAGTCGTAAAACATAGACATAATTTTCTTGCCGAACGCCTCATCGAGAGAAATCTTCCAAGGTCGTCGAGAGGAACGGTAGTCGATCGATAAAGTCGATTCGGGTTTTGAACGAAACTAAACAGACGACAGCTTTCTGCGAACATGGCGCATCGAGGCGGACGAAACGAGCAACGTTACAATGCCGCTGCCCGTGCATGCTCATGGTTCGATTCTCCTTTTGAAATTGAGTTTTTCGTGGTGGGCGATCAGGACACAAAGCCGAAACAATCTAAGTATGCTTCTCTCGCGTTTTGTTTCAGATCTGTTGGGTCGCATCGTCGAGGAATGGACAAGGTGCGAGGAGAAGAAGCAACGCGTCGGCCTTGCACGCTAATCGGACGAACGGCGGCAGGCTAGAAATTGGCGAGAACAGGAAACGTTCGCGAGCTTCCGGAAACTTTGTTCGGCTCGATCGCTCTAGGCTGGCTTGCTCGCGAAATGGATCGATTCTCGTCATCGCCGTCGATGACGTCGTCAGCGTCGTCGCCGTCAGCGCCGAT